TACCTTAAATGAGAAATCAATGAACACACCCTCATCAAAATTGCCTAGTGATCTGCAGCTTTGAGAGGTCTCTTAAGCAGTGACTCCTACAGGGTTGGGTACCTCAGCCTCTATTGTTCCTCTTGCTTACTCAGTGTCCTGTAAGCCCCACCCTTTCTTTCCCGAAGCCCTGCCCGTGGGTGAGAGGCCATTGCTCTAGATTCACAGGCAGACATACTGGCCCTCCCAAGTACTAAAGGGAAAACACTCTGCCTCTGTTGTCTGTGGCCTCTGTGTTGATAGTCACCTTTTGAATTGGACCCAAGAGCCCAGAGTGTGAAGTGCTCACCTCATGTCTTCACATCCCAATCCCTAGCTCAATGCCCTTCACATAAGAACAACTCATGGGCCTCCATGGTGGCACAAGGGGTTAAGCACAACACTGTGAAGCTGTCTGTGGCCTCTGCAGCATGAGTTCTATCCCCAGCCAGGAGCTATCCACATGGCAAAGCAGACCTCTCCTTGCCTGCTGCTCCCCTCAGCAGTGTATTTCAGTAGATCTGCCTGTTCTGCTCCCCACTCTGTCTCCGATGAATCCTCTCACACTCTCCCTCTGGCCTGTACCCCAGTTCTTGCATACATAAATAAATAAAAAGAACCACTCGGGCCTCCCCGGTGGTGCAGAGGTTGAGCACTGGCTACGAAGCTGCCTGCAGCCTCTGCAGCGCCAGTTTGATCCCGGCCGCCGGCAAGGGTCCCACATGGCGCGCAGACCTCTCCTGCCACCCGCTGCTCCCCTCAGCAGTGTACTTCGTCAGTCTGCCTGCTCTGCTCCCCGCTCTTACTTTGGTGAATTTTCTTACCCTCCCTCGCTTCTCACTGTACCCAGTGCTTGTATAAATAAATAAAATAAATAAATCTTAAAAAAAAAAAACACTCAATACATCATCTCTGGTTGAACACAATTGTCTTTTAAAGGAAAATGACACAGAAATATGTAAGAAGATAAACTGATACAGGTTGGAGGCTATTTTGGTGTTGTTTCCACTCACATGGATAAGAAGATGGAGAGTTAAACAGCATTGAAAGCAACGTGAAAGCCAAAATGTGGGGGGAGCCCTTCAGCACCACAAGCAATCTGGGCAACACAGCAACCAGTTGGGAAGTCTGGTGAGCAATGTCAAGTACAAAAATCCTGAGTCACAGCCCCACATTGTTACTTGGTACTTGTGTGATTTTTTGGGGAATTCCCTTCTCTGGACCCCAGATTCCTTGTTTATAAAATGGAGATGATTGAGTCTATTTCAAAGAGTGGTTTTAAGGATTAAGTGTTCTTATGTATACAATATCTTTAACAAAGTAACTGAACAATAACTGATCATGCTATTTACCTTGTTAATACCATCATTACCTAGTATCTCATAATCTAGCTTCAAACAGTTTCTAGCTATGCAATCTTAATTAAATGGTGTAAACTCTCATGTCTCAGTTTCATCGTCTGTAAAATGGGAATAAAATAGCACCTACAGGACCTCCCTGATTGCATAGGGGTTAAATTCAGCACTATCACACTATCACCGCTGTGGTGGCTTGAGCTCGAACCCCAGTCAGGGAGTTACTCCACAAATGGCACAGTGTACCTCTCCTGTATCGTCCACTGCTCCCCTCAGCAGTGCATTTCAGTATATCTGCCTGTTCTGCTCCCCACTCTGTCTCTGGTGAATCCTCTCACCCCTTGCATCTCTGGCTTACACCCCAGTTCTTCTATGCAAAAAAATGAATATTTGAAAGTAAGTAGCACTTACATTGCAGGCTTTCTACTAGGGTTAAAAGTTAATGTTATGATCTTGAAAGATGGCTAAGACATTACATAAAATACTTAGAACACTCCCTAACACATAGCAAGTACTTAATAAAATTTTGCTAATATTATGTGACCTCACCCTTTTTAAAGAAAATGCATACAGACCTATCAGCAGAAGGCAGAAACAATGGGAGATTGCAAATTGTTTGTCATTCTTTTTAGACTGTCAATGCCAAGTTAGGTAGAAGATTTTCCAGTACCTTTTCAAGGACTTTTAGAATTTATTGGATAAAATAAAACATTAATAAAAAACTTCCCTCACATTAGAATCTGCTGTCAAAGCATTCATTCTTTGGGGACTGGAAAAGATCCTCAAAAAATGAAATTGGTGAGAACAAAGCAGAATGAAATGAAATTAGAACAAAAAGTCCTCTGCTGGTTGAGAAGAAAACTACAAGCATCATCCTCATTGTCACCCAGGGTGGCTCACAGGGTGGCTCTCTGGGGTGTCACACAGGGTGGCTCTCTGGGGTGGAGTAAGAGGTTCAGTGACTACTCGTGACTAGTGTAGCTTAGTCACATGCTGAGCAAAAAGAAAAGAAAATGTGAGGGAAGGCAGGAGGGATAGGAGAAACATAAAAAAAAAGAAGAAAGAGATCCACATACACAATACAAACAAAAATAACCCAGAGCCCTGAGCCACTAGATGTTACAAACTGGAATCAGGTTACCTGCAAATTTAGCTATGCTTATGCAAACACAATATATTCTGAAATTCCTACTTGCTTCTCTGCATACAAGATTGTAAAATGCAGGGCCTGTGTTTGACTGTTCAAGGGCTTCTATTACACAAAAGTACACACAACCTACTGTGTTTTAGTGTGTTCGAGCCTGCAAATAATGAGGGTTACCCTGCAGGTGCACGAGCATCCTCTGTGCAGGATTCCTAACACACCTGTTCATATCCTAAATCAGGCCTGTGGGCAATAGGTTGGTGACAGTGAGATCCCAGCTCCTCTCACCCCTACTCTGCAGGACTCCATCCACTGGGAGGGTCTTCCTCTCACACATCAGGAAGACTTTCAGCCCCAGAGTCTGGCTCAAATGGCAGGAGATGTTCCAGAGGACCTTTGTATGCCAAGGTTGGGTTGGGTTTAGGGAGGAAACCCTGCCATATTCCACTTTCTCCATCTATACCCCAACAAGACCACTGTATCTGGAAAACACAAACATTAGTAACTGAAAGGGTTAGGGAGGGGGACCCCAGAGTGAGAAAAAGACATGGAAAGAAAGACAAAGAAAGGAAAGCCAGCAAGTAGTGAAGGATAAAGCAATTTTAAAGAGAAGCTGCTCCTCAGCAGGCCCATCTCCTGGCTGTGCATCTGCTGGACCCAGCCACTGTCTGCTTCTAATGAGTGGCGGGGTTTGCCTTCTAGAGTGCAGGTCCTGGCCAGCCTACACCCCTCATTGTTCCAGTAACATGGGTGCTACTCTCCATAGGGTCCCTTCGCTATTCCTTTATCTCCAAATCTCTAAAGAGCTGATCACCTTCCATCTTCTCCTTGAAAATACCATCCCATCTGTTTCTAAAATGATCTCCGTATGACAATGTCTCTGTTTTAGCTCTTGGGGGCTAGTCCTTTGAGCTTCGGTTTAGGGACAAAAGGGGACAGCCAAAGAACACTGCATTCCATTGGTTATATTGTTTAAGAGATTCATTTTTGTTTTCTTTGTAAGTCGTCTGAAATCATGGCTCGCCCATGAAATCTCCTTATAAAGCACATGCACTGTTATTTCAGGGTGGAAAGCCATTAGATATTTAACCTTAGTTCAGAAGGGTCCCCAGTGAAAGAAATGGGTTTCCTGAGCCATTAAGTAAGTAGGAGTTCACTGGGGCCAAGTGGGTTAGTTCCCCAAAGACAAAAGAGTATGGGAATGCTTGCGGGTCTTCAATGGGTTCTTAAATCACATGTGTCCTTAAGCAATGTCCTGATAAGTGAGATAGGTGTTGCCAGTGCCTCTCAACATTTTCTAGTCTGTGGATATTGCCTTAAGTGTACCATCCACAGACAATCTGGTCATAGAGGACTAGGGGAGGGGGGTATAGAACAATGGACACCCAGATTGTCTTTTCAAGAATCTTCACATGAAGGGGATAGGCGTATTGCCATGTTGCCTCGTGGTTAGTTCACCAATACAGTTTGGAAAAGTTTATTTAAGAGGGCATATTAAATCGCAGAGCGGCAAGGGAATCAGTCCTCCCATGAACCTTCTTAACTTCTGCCTCATGCTGACTCTCCAGCATTACATTCCAGAGAATAAAATTTCCCATTATAATCACTAATTCTGTGCCATCCTCCTGTCAGTGGTGTGGCTGTGGATGCTGGAAATTGAGTGAGCATTTCAGTACTCAGTGATCACAAAGATAGATTTACCCCACATTACACAAAATATAGCTAAGATCCTTCAGCTCCTCAGCTCCTGTAAGCCTTAAGCCCAGAAGCCAATCAGGACCCAAGTCAACACCGAAACCCAGTTTCTGTTCTGTAGATCAGTTGTGCACATATGCTCTGTGGATAACACCAGAGAGCACAGTTAACCAGCGTAAATGATCTTTTCCATGGACGAGCCAGACTCGATTGCCTGGCTTCGATCTCAGAAAGCCATGTTGAGACAGGAGAAAGCATGTCCTTCTGCCCACCAGCTCATGTCATGCAGGCACCACAGGAAAGTACAGGCACAGCCATGCCCAGGACAAAACAGCAGCTCTGCCAGAGAACAGAAGCTGATTGGCAGCTCCCCATACATGGGTAGAGCGAGGGCATTCACCCAAAGTCAGAGCAATCCTTTGGGACACCTTAACTTCAAAGAAAACTGTTTAAGCTGAGCTCCAGTCAGGCCCCCAGTCACCATAGCTCCAGGTTCCAGCACAGACCGTGCCCAAGTCACTGTCCTCGTCCTCCCTGGCCCAATCATTCTCACGTTTACCAAGTCTGAGTCAATGAACCAGTTTTGGAAAAGCAACTCATCTCCCAAACCTCTGAGCGTTTCCCTCTAACTACCGCGTTCCCGGGCGAGCACCAGTTCATCCACGAATTGTGCAGCCGTGGAACCTGCTAGCCGGCAGCGCCAGTCTGCACACCGGCACCCCTGGCCCTATCCCCTGAAACCCCCAAAGAAATCATTGTCAATTCACATAAGAATAGCAGCTCCCTACCTGAGGGTGGCGCTCTCCCCCTGCCGGACCGTCACGTTGTCCATAGCTTTGGGGAAGGTGGCATCTCCGCTGCGCACCGGCACTCCTGTGGGTACAAGGAACAGCAGCCTGAGAGACACGACCACGAGGCACTTCCAGGGCAGGAACAGGTACCCACAGACCCCCATCCTCGACAGCCACAACTTCCCAGAACTCCGGAGGCCAGGCACGGCACACGCCCCCCGGGCGCACACAGGAAGTGGGTGGGGTAGGGGAGCGAGCACAGGGACCAAGCAGTGAACTAGCAGCGACCGAGAGGCGCGGGGAGGAGAAAAACGCGCAGACTCCTCCAAGTCTAATATTCCTCCCCCAAATCCAGCCTCAGCGCGCCAGCCTCAGAGAACCAGTTTCCACAGAGGACATCAGAAGGGGGCTTCCTCGGTGCTGCTTCGGCCGGGGAAGGTGACCCAGAGAGGGACGCACAAGGCAGGTGCAGCGGTGCGGGCACGTCTCGGGAGCCCCTTCTTCCCGTTGACAGTTCAGATATGGCACTTTGGAGTGGAGTAAGCACTTTGGTACCAGAAAGGGACGGGATGGGTTAGATCCGTCTACCCCGAGGTTGTCAGCAATTCCTCAGCTCCAACAAGGGGAAATCCAACACTTTCTTTGTAAGTTTCGGAGGAAAGCCTGCCAATAGAAGAGAATCTGTAACAATAGCGGAGATGCAAAGTAGAGCACGCAGGCGGCAGGCGGCGGGCGGCAGGGGGTGTGCTGGAGAGATGGCTACGCCGGGTTCGTGCGATCCGGACCCCGGGATGCTGCTGCAGCCGCTCGGTCAACTTCCTGCCTGTCCAAATGCGCGCGATCCGGCCAGGCTCTGCGGGGACACTAGCCGCGGTGGCGGTCGAGGCAGGAGAGCGCGGCCGCGGCCCTTCTCCGGCTCGCTCGCTCACTCGCTGGGGAAGGCGAGGCGCAGCCGGCACCGGAGCCGCGCGGACGCCACGCTCAGCGGCCGCCCCCGGCCTCCGCGCAGCCTTCCTCCCGGGAGCAGCCCCGACGCGCGCGGGCCCCGACCGCCGGGGTTGTCATGGCAGCAGCTCCATCACTGACCGCCACTTTCTCCCGTGCCGGCGCCGAGCGAGCCGAGCGCGAGGACTGCGCTCATCCCGGCGGGCGGGCGGGCCGGTGCGGGGCGCGGGAGCCCACCTTAACCCCCGCCGCGCCGTGGCTGTGCAGGAGCCAGAGCTCGGAGTTTAACCATTCGCCCCCTTGAAGAGCTGCCACTTCCCAGTGAAAAAGGGGGCGAGGTACCGCACAATCTTAATAAGTCCCAGACATCAGAATAGGGGTCACGAACTAATTAACTAGGAAAGGAAAATCTTGCCGCATGCGTGCATGCATCTTTAAAATTACTAGATTATTTCCATCAGCCTTTAGAGTAAATTGAGAGTGCTGGGAGAATGTTTTAGAATAATATCACTTTTATTCGATCATCAACACTCACCCCCACCCAAAGCTACTTTATTAAAGCGCCGGAGAGGGGACACCAATATTTTAAATAGACTTCCATATAGAAAACATGCAAAATCACAAAAGCCTCTTAGTGTGTGAAAATGGCAAAATCTCATCAAAATTTTGGTCCAGTTTTGACGCTGACTTACATTCTTTATTCTTGTTTTGTCGACATTAAAAGATGCTAGCCTGGCAGAAGCTCTCACTCAGACGAATGAGTGTGAGCCACCTGCTTTATCGAAAACAGTGGACTCCCGAGTTTCCTGGACTTTACATGTTTATAGAGTTGACTCTATCGAAGGTGTGTTTTTAAATTCTCAAAACCCTGAGAAATACTGGATTTCTCCTCTCTAGCTGCTGTGGGTCCCTCTATTCCTACATTTTTGTTTCTCCCTTCACTTTGGCTGTGATGGAATGTCAGGCCTTCCCCTTCCTGGACTTGGTCCCTGAGAAAGTTCTCCAGAGCAACTCCACCCACACAGGCTGCTAACACAAACATGTGTTAACACACATGTTCTCAGGGACTCCAAGATCTGAGCTCCCCAAACACACCAAATTCCCCCTGGGGGGCAGAAAGGAGGCAGTCGTGGTTTTGATTTGTTTGCCTACACAGGCCTAAACAGCTATTTTTTTAATGGTTAATTAACAGGGAAAAAAAAAAAAAGGTTCTCCCCAAGAGTCAGCCAGTTAACACCAAAGAGTCATTGTAAAGATGAAGGTTCTGGTGCCACGAAAGACCTGACACCTTACAAGGGGGAATCATCCCTTAGATAGAGGGAGCAAGTGTGTTACAGAAGATACCAGCATTTCACCTATCCTGTCCTCCTCATTGGAACTTCTTGGCATTGGTAAAGGAGGAGGAATGTTTGTGAATGTGGTGTAAGCTCCCTTTGTAACAATGGGAGACTGAGCAGACTTGCCTTTCTCTGAATAGTTGACCCAAAAGTGGTCACCCATGAAAAGTTGAGCAACTTTAGACTGAAGATCTCAATTAACCGGTCGTGAGGTCTATTTTCCCCACATCTCCCTTGGTGACTTAGCCTGATATTAAATTCTCAGGGAAAGCCATCTGCTACTTTGGGCCAGTTGGGACTATTTGATTTATAGCACCAAAAAAAAAAAAAAATCAATTGTCAACTTATGGCCACAACAAATGACTTTACTCTCAGGGAAATAAAACTGACATCTATGGGGAGGAGGAGAGTTTTGTTAACATTTTTGAAAGAAAAGGAGAATTAACCTATTTAGCACCAAATCCATTTTTGCATCACCCTGTTTTATCTCCATTTTACAATGGGGAATTGTGAAAACAGGAAATTGAATAATTTCACCAAGCGATGATATTATGTGAGAACAGATATAAGCCAATAAACATCAGATTATGTTGACTGACTTTTAGACTGCTGAATTTGGGGTTCTTCTACCCAAAGCTAAGGAGTAACCACTAATCACCAATTTTCCATCCATCCATTTTAACCATCCTTCATACTTCCTGCCAAGCCTTCTTTATAAAGACATCCTTTCCACCTCAAATGGAAATAAATGAGAATGGTGGGGCTCATTCTAGACTTTGAAATCATTTCCCTATAGGTTTGAGAATGGCAGGGATGATTTCTTTCTGGGTAAATTGTAATCCTGGTTCTTGCATCTAATTCCCAGGTAGGTACAAATGAGCATTAGTTTTTGCATCTAGGAATGTGGATAATGACAACAGGCCTTCCCGAGGGGCTACATGCATGATTAACTCTACAGTAAAATACTTAGAAATCCATTTAAGGTGGAAGATGCTTTATTAATACATTTTGACTGCCACTGCTTCATTATTATGGCTGGGCAGAAAAATAATTATTCTTGTGGGCTCTGTAAGATATTCAGTTTATACCAGTCTGCATGCAGTTGCTCTAAAACAATCAAGCCATCTTTGTCTCAGCCTGTGAGAAGAGTATTGGGCTGCTGCTGTCCAGAGGTGGCCAGCAGAAAACCCAGCAGAGCTAAGGTAACCTCAGGGTGATACAAAGAGAAACCACTAGACGTCTCATACCTGCCTTGTGACCCCAACATACAAACCTGATTCAAAAATGGAAGTTGAGAAAGAGGTGAAAGGTCAGAGATGCCCACACAATTAGCACAGCAGGCTCCATTTTATTCAAACTCGTTACTGAAGTGGTTTGAATTGATGAAGATCAAAATCTATGTCAACTCCCTTCCCTTCTCCTAATCCCTAAATATAACCAACACTTAGTGGCTTATCTTATATCCTGTCTCTTGCTTCATAAAAACTGCTGGATTTATTTTATTTTCCCCAGCATATCCGAGTTAATGAAAAAGGGATGACAGTCAGAGCAATTTCATTATTTGTGTTCTTTATAGAAACAACTTCCTTTCTGCCTCCTGGAAAGCAGATTCCTAACGAGCAACTACCTCCACCTTCTCCCCACATCTCCCTCTCCTTCCCTCTTGCATACACATATACTGTACACATAAATCAACTTGTCACAGCTTGTCTCTGTGCTGACAGCTGTAATTGCTTCAGGTTATAAAAATATCTATAGGACAATGCCTTTCAAGCACACACACACACACACACATGCACACACACACGCACACTCACTGCCCAAGCAAAAGAAAACAATCACATTTCCTTTAATAATCCTTTGACTGCAAGGGAGGGGGTGTGGAGCTTGTGACACACACTCAGGAGTGCTGGCAGGCAGGTGAGGACAGGGAAGACAGATACTTCTGGCATCAAGCAGCAGCATCTACACACTAAAGTAAGGTTGAAGGTGAGAATTCCTGTGAAAGGGGAATCAGCTGTTCTTTTTGTTTCACCTGGTGTTCCCTACAGCAAGCAGCGGTCCCCTGAAAAGGCGAGACTATTCCACACACAGGAGACCCAAAGAAGAGCGCTAGCTTAAGAAATACCAGTTCTGCTTCTCCTTCTCTAAAAAGGCTAAAGGCCCCCCTCTCCTGGTGGAGATTCCAAATAGGAGCACAGGCAAGATGAGCGAAAATTCAGGGCAGTTAAAGTGGTGTGGCACTGAACAAATACTGGAAGGTTCCATCAGAAAAGGCATTGTCAATCTGGATAATCCTCTAGAGAATTATGAAGGGCCAGATTCTAGAAAATAGATGTGATTTTCCCTTTCATAGGGATATAGGATCAAAATAAAATCACTGTTCATCTGGACTGTGGTGCAGCTTGTTAGGATTTCAGCAGAAAGAGCAAAAGAGCAACATGAAGCAGGGGACGGAGCCTCTGGGGAGAAGTAAGAGGTCATGCATCAAGAGAACTGAGGAGCAAGAGAAGAAATGGCAAAGGTTAGGATATCTATGGACTTTGAAAGCCTTGAAATTTTATAAGAGATACATAAAGCAGGAAGATGGTCAGTGGAACAACTGGCAGGTGGGAAGAAAAGCAAGGGGAAGCAGGATGTATAAGGCAAAATCAAAGCAAAAGCAAAAGCCAGGTACCCAAAGGGGAACATCCCAGGGGCCACGGGCCTTTAAGGCAGGCACTTCCTTTAGCTGGGTTTCAAGTCATAATAAGACGCTCAGAATCACAAAACCTCACAGTCCACGTACCTTGGAAGACACTTGCTTCAACTCACTCACTTCACAAGTGGGGGACTGAGCCTCAGGAGGGAGACAATGCCATGGCAGGGACATGAAGTTAATAACTGGTAAATCAGGTCTAGATCTCAGGGCTCCTGGCTCTTGTTCCAGTGTCCTTTCCAATATGCATGTCAAGTAAGGACTCTACTAAAGAACTAAATAATATTATAACTCCTCCGGTGGCTACATTTGTGGGCAAGAGAGAGCACCAGAGAAGAAGCAATACCTGGCCTCCCTGGTGGCGCAAGAGATTAAGACACTGCCTATGAAGCTATCCACAGCCACTGCAGCACGAGTTCGATCCCTGGCCAGGGAGCTACCCACATGGCACAGCAGACCTCTCCTGTCTTGCCCACTGCACCCCTCAGCAGTGTATTTCAGTCAGTCTGCCTGTTCTGTTCCCCACTATCTGTTGAATCCTCTCACTCCCCACACCTCTTCACCTATATCCCAGTTCTTGCATGCATGCATAAATAAATAAATCCTTAAAAAAAATGAAGCAATACCACCACTGCCCAGCTACTGCTGATTAGCCAATTGCCCAGCTGAATTCAGCCTACTCAGTAAGTGTTGCAAGCAGTGTTTGAACTCCGGCTATACCCAAGGTGATGTTTGAGACACAAAGACAGAAAATGTAACCACTGCCCTACAGTTGCTCAGAACCTGGTATTGGGTTTGTTGTTGGTTTTCTTAGTTACATTCATGAATGTCCAAGTTTGCATGGACCCTGCCTGTCAACCCCTGAATACATACTCTTTGCTGGGAACTTCTTCCCCTTTGGGAACACTGTCCAGA